AGAGAGAGAGAGAGAGAGAGAGAGAGAGAGAGAGAGGGAGAGAGGAGAAGGAGACAGAGAAGGGGAAAGCAGAGAAGCGGGAAGAGAGGCAGAGTGAAGCTGCCTCTCTGAGAGAAAAAGAGAACAAGCTCAGACAGGAAGCTGAAGATCACCCTGCCTCAGCAGATGGGGGAGGGAGTGGGCATGGCTTGTCTCTTAAAGAGACAGAACAGGTAGGAAATTATCCTGGGGAAAGAGTAAGATATCACTATGTTACCTATCGGGAGGGAACATTCTGAGGGGAACAGGTTCGGGTGGTAAGACTAAGATAAGAAACCCTAGTTTCAAGTGCTGTCTGCATCTCACAAGTCCTTTCCCCAAAGTCAGGCATTTAGATAGCAAGGGTCTCCATTCATTCCCTCTTGAGGAACATCAGGCCCTGACATTAACACACGACTGGGGCCTATTGGCCAGGTCAATGCTAGCTAGCTACATTCTCCTCCAGAAACCTGATGCCACACCCCAGTTCAGTTCTGTTGGCAGCCATTGGAATTCATTCTCAGATCCTGCAGTCTCTTCAGGCCACAGACCATATCTTTTAGAAATCCTTTCCCCACTACCCACATATGTCAGATAAATAAATACTCAGCCGCAGAAGCTCGAAAGCAGCTTCTCAAAAATTTCTTTGATTTTTTTTTCTCAAGACGTGGTAGCATTCCTAGCTGCTTGGCCTTGAACACACAGAGACCTGTCTGCCTTCTTAGTGGAGTTTTGGGGTTATAGCCTTGTGCCTCCACCAAGCAGTTCATTTCTTTTTTTTTAATGCCAGGTTATTTAGTTTAATTTTAGTTAATTTTTTGAAATTGTATACTTTCTTTTAAAACTGAACCCATTGATTTACATTAGCAAGAGACTTGCTGTTGAATTTCACGTAAATTTCCAGCCAATCTGGGAAGGTCTGTTTTTAGATTAGAAGCCAGCTCTGGACCCCGGTGCTGAGTTCCTTTTGCTCACCTCGTCCTGTCACTCAGACCTCACTAGCCAATCATAGCCTCCAGCTGCCCCGCCAGTCAGATGGGAGGGTTCTTCCGGGAACCGGACTTCCATTCCAGTTCAGCTCCCTCAGGCACCCCGTCTGGGGCTCTCTTTTGGGCAGAGAACCTGTCAGCTTGGCGGCTGCACCATGGTGAGTGAGGGGCTGCTCTCCACAGATGGAGGAGTTGCCGGGCTCGGCGAGTGAGGGGCCACAGTCTCTAAATTAGGTGGAGCAGTCGCTGAAGCTCGCGGCAGGTGTGGTGGCTGGGTGGGAGCGAGCGGATAGACACAGAGCTTAGCATCTTCCTACCTCAGTATTCCTAAACTTGCAGCTCTCTTTTGGCAGCCTCTGAATCCCTTCACTGCCGGGCTGTGTCTGCACAGAGCAGAGCGTTGGGAGCCGCAGATGGAGGTGTCTGTCGTGCTTATATTGTCGCATGTGAAGAGATATCAGCACATTCGCCAAACGCGGAGACTCCTGGTCTCTCCTGGGTCTTCAGGAGTTCTGCACTTTTGACATTTACATTTGGGATTCATCTGTAATTAATTTCGTGCGGTTTGTTAATGGTTTCTCCTGTGTAGAATAGCGCTCCACTACTAAACTGTGATGTAGATGAGTATAGTTGATAATAGAATTAATGGTATAAGGATTTACCGGTACTTAGGAGAAATTAAGTCACACAAAGTATAATTTAAGTGAGTATAATTTTGGGAGGGCTGCATCCCAAATATCCAAAGATGAGTGGCATGCACACCACGCCTGTTAGAGATTAGTATGAAGAGATGCAAATGTTTGTTCAGCAGGATTAATCAGCCATTAAGGTACATTCCTATAACAAATGAGACAACCATGATTTACAACCAGAAGACCCACTTCCTCATCAAAGGCCTCTGACCTGCTGCTCTGGGGCCTTTACAGTGTCACAACCTTGTGGGCCAGGAGTATAACAATTCTAGAACGGCTACATTTTTCAGCTTTTAGGAAAGCAGTTGTGACTAAGTGTCCCCTGTGCTGATTGATGTAAACGTCTGCAGCCCCACAGGGCATTGCCCTTGCTATCCTCCTGGCTAACCATCGTACATTCTTAGATTACAAGCATGCTGCACCCTGGAGCTCTAAAATTACTAGTTTGAGTCATAACAGTGGGATTATGTTGCAATGTATCCGTTGCAGTAACAATAAAAGGATTTGCATGTGGAGGATGCCTTCTCCCTTCAGACCAGAAAAGTAGAAATGGTGTACTGTGTACACTGGAGGGGGTAAACACACTGGACAATAGCTAGATCTTAGACTGAAGTTTAAGGCTGTGGGCTGCAGGGGTGTCCATTACAAAGTATGACCTGATGGGGCACAGTGAGAGACTTAATATGTAATTCCTGTCATGCATCAATTCCTTCTTTGTGAATGAAGACAGACACTGGTGGGTGTACAATTTAGGGAGGAGAGCTTGAACTCCTAAGTATTTAGTTTCCAATCAGTGAACTCTCTCATGCAGATAATGTTCAATCCTGGTTGACAGAGTGAAGTCAGCTCAGATGTTTGAGATACAGGCCATTGGCTGTAACTCTATGTGTCAGTTTATAGCATTCAGCAGCTAACATTTTACATGGGACAAAGTCATGCATTACTTTATTTAGTGGCATTTTCCCTACCTGGGAAGTGCTTACTCTGTTTCAAAGTCAGTGTCACTGAGTGTTCAATTATAGTTTTCTTTTATCATTTTAAGAAGTCAATTATTGATTATCATTTTTTAGATTTCATTTTCTCCAATGGCATGGCTATTATAATCTCCCTGTTTCTATTTTCCAATGTTTCAAAGTTTTTGTATTTCGTTCCATTTTTTAAGTGCTGTTTAATTATTCATCTATTTATTTATATCAGTTTAGAGCAGTGATTCTCAACCGGGTTGGCCATGACTCTTTTTGGGAGATCAAATGAACCTATCACAGGACTGGCCTAAGACCATCAGAAAGTATGGATATTTATATTATAATTCATAATGGTAGTAAAAATATAGTTATGAAATAGCATTGAAAATAATTTTATAGGTGGGGAGATCACTACATCAAGAGTAACTGTATTAAACTGTATTAAAGAGCACTAGGAAGATTGAGAACAACTGCTTTAGATTAATGTCTCCTGTAGCTCAGGCTTGCATCATACTATGTAACTGAGAATTGCTGTGAACTCCTAATCCTGCCTCTGCTACGTAGTGCTGCAAAGACAGTCCTGCAACTCCTACCAGGCTGGACCTTGACTGGTCTGTGTGAAGGAGAGATGGATCAGTGAATGAGTATCTTCCAATTTCTGTAGATTTTACTGTGGATTTACAAGTGAAGTGGGACCCTTGTAAGAATTGAGTTCACTGACTAACTGTAAAGCCAGTGTAGTCACAACAGACAAAGGATGGGCAAGAAGGAGGATAAAAGCTTTCCTGCTGTGACTATAGTTGACATTAGCTGTGAGGAGTGAGGTGATCAATTTTAGATGTTCCATAAATATCCTGTCTGACCATTTCATGGGTCCACAGACCAGAAACAAGACCCGGTGCCTTGGAGGATGAACAGAAAGTGCTCTGGGAGAATGGAAGATTTTATTAAACTACAAATTTCCCAGATTAGGGTCCTGTCTGACTATAGTGTGGAAGGACAAACCTGGAGGATGTTTGCTTTCTGAGACATTCGATCTGTGCTAGACCAGTGGGGTAACTGCTAATGTCTTGAAGCCCAGCTGGGTGGTCCTAGAGGGACTCTGGTTGGCAATTCAGAGCACTAGAGGTAGTTTACAGGTTTTTCCAGAATTCGCCTGTTCTGCGGTACAGAGATGTAAGGAGGACCAGAAGCTATGCCATGGAGAATGTAGGAGCGACTGTCCTGAGACCAGGAAGAGCAGGTTGGCTGAGCAGTCAGAGCTGCTTGGACAGGGATGAACCATCAGCCAGACAGGTTCTGTTGTTCTTCGTGGTGACTTGGGTAATGACCCTTGGCCTCTGAGCTTTGTTGAGAGTGCGGGAGACTATGAGCTTGTGATATTGTTGCCTCACATTATGTAATTGAGAATGGCTTTGAAAACCTAATCCTGTCTCTGCTGCCCAGTGCTGGGTAGATAGTTCTTCAACTTCTTCAGGACTGGGCCTTGACTGGTCAGTGAGAAGGAAAAATAAACCAGGTGGTGAGTGACCTCCTGTCTCTCTGACTTTCAGTGTGTGATTAAAGATGAAGAGGGTGAGTACATAGGTCAAGCTTGAAGCTGGTAGATGCACAGTGCAGAAAGGGAGAGAAAGGACAGTGGTTGAGAACTTTCCTACATCAACAGTAGTTGAGATTAGCAAGGTGGAACCAGGTAATCAATTTTTGGTGCTCCACAAATGTCCTGATTGTCATTTCTTGATGTCAACACTCCGGGCAATAAAGAATCTGGATAAAGAACTGAACTTAGGGCTGGAGAGATGGCTCAGTGGTTAAGAGCATTGCCTGCTCTTCCAAAGGTCCTGAGTTCAAATTCCGGCAACCGCATGGTGGCTCACAACCATCTGCAATGAGGTTTGGTGCCCTCTTCTGGCCTGCAGACATACACACAGACAGAATATTGCATACATAACAAATAAACAAAATAAAACAAATTCATTTTTTTAAAAAAGAACCATACTTATCATGAATCCAAATTGCTATAATTACAATAGTTCAACCAAAATAGATCTGAGTAAAATGTGGCCCTGCCTCACAGGACTGTTATTTTACTGGTTTTAAATATATACACCGAGATAAAAGGTTTGAGAAATCTTTGATGTGCTCTAATATAAATCCCTTGTTTCTGAAGCACATGGCCATACTTTTCAACTTCTCAAAATAATCTTTTGAGATTATATCATATCCACATTCTCTTTCCTGTCCCCAAAATTTACCATGACCCCTTATTATCTTCTATTTTATGGCCCATTTTTCTTTAACACCAGTTGTAATTGTGACTTGTGTTTGGCTGCAGGATTTCACAGGTATGAGGCAATGGGTTGGCTACACTGCACATTGAGTATGTAATGGAATGTGCAAATAAAGGACCCTGTGCTTTGGATGAGGAACAGGGTATGCCACAGGAAATTGGGTGAATGTGTACTAAAATGCAAACTTTCTAGACTAAGGCCCTGTCTACTGGGCTGGGAGGGCAGAGCAGGAAGTACTGTGCTGTCAGAGTCATTTGATCTCTGATCACCCATTATGGGAGCTGATAATATTCTGAGGCCCAGCAGGGTGGTTTTAGCCAATGAGGGACTCTGGAAAGTCTTAGAAATCAGGATAATAGAGGCAGGTAGCTTGCATGTTCTTTCCAGGATTCTTCTCTACTTTTGTTGTAATGAGTTGTAAGGAAGACCACAAGCTATGCCATTGTGAGTGTAAGGTGTTCAGAGAAGATCTGTTGATCTGTCATTTCTGCTGGGATTTGGATGGACCATGCACTAGGCTGTGGTTCTATTGCTCTATGTAATGACCTGGGCAGTTTTCCTTGTCCTCTGAGCTCCCTGTGTGTGGATTTCCTGGGAAGAGGGAGACTGCAGCTCTGGCATGGTAGGATATTATGCTTGTAATCTCACTGTCCAGTGTACACACAGAGCCATGCCTATGGTGTGCAGTCAGAAGACAAATTTGAAAACTGATAATCTGGTGTCTAGAAGTTCTGAATATTGCAGTCTACTTTCAAGTTTGTCTTATAAATGTTTTAAGTAGTTTAAAAGCTGGTAGAACTACAGTGATGTTGATTTAGCAATGCATGATTTAAATGTTTCTAACTTTCTGCTACCACCAGCTGCAATGGTGTGATTCATTGATGTTTAGTTCCAGGGGACAAAGGGAGTTTCTGAGCTGCAGAGGTTTCCTAGGTGTGTATGGTGTCAGGCAGGTAGAAAGGACAGAATCTGTATCTTGTGCTATAATCCACATGACAGGATGCAGAAATTATTTTATATTGTTTTGGATTGGGCATCAGTGGGGCTGGGTTTACCTGAAAACACAAAGAGGTCTAAGGGACTGCAGAACCATAGCAGGAGATCATCTCTTTTTGCAGAGAGGGCTCTAGAGCATGGGGTCTCTCTGGAAGAAATACCAGTAGCTGAAGGGTCAGAAAGAACAGTTTAAAGGTCACTTTGAGATAATTTTGGGAAAATTGTGAAGTCTTTATTTATTTAATTTCTATACACATAGAATCATAGTTGACTGGGTAACATTGGTCAAGATCACATGTTTCCTTACTAAGTTTCCTTTGGTCTTTTGATTAATTGCTGACTATATTTTCCTGCCTTTGTTCTTGACTTTTTTTCTCCATTCTCTTTATTCTTTCCCAAATATCATACACATTCTTGATTGATCAGCTTTGTGGTAATATTTTTTCCTCAACACAGTGTTTCTCTGTAGCTTTGG